GAGAGAGAGAGAGACTATTCTTTGGGTCCACTAGAGCATATTGTGTGAATGATCTTTGTTGGCCTGTATCTTGTAGCTTGTGGTTGAACCTTTGACCTGATTTCTGGAAAGTTTTTACAATTTTAGGATGTCTATTCATCCATTTATTTAATTTTCCTGTTCTAATAAATGCCTCTGCTTAGTGATTTGGTAACCTTTTTTCTAAAGATGGTGATCGCCCATTTGGTGTGTTTTGTTCAACTATAGACATACTTTTTATCTTTGTCCAAGACATATCACATGGAGAGAGGACCTTTTAGGAGGGGAATTAAATGGTTATGTAGGGAAGGACAATATAGAATATGAAGGGGCACATGGGGGATATGGGTTTGGGGAAAGAAATGAGATGGGTGAGACTATTCTAGATTTTGCTATGGTCTATGACTTAGCAATAGCAAATACTTAGTTTGAAAAGCGAGATGAACATTTAATAACCTATAAAAGTGGATCACATAAAAGCCAAATAGACCTCTTCCTAGTTAAGAAAGTAGATTGGCCATCATGTGAAGCGTGCAAGGTTATTCTAGGAGAGATAAGGGTGGGGTCCAAGAACTAGGTGGTGAAATTTAAAAAAAATGAGAAAATATATTTATTTAGGGATAAATTAGTTTAAAGAAGGAAAATAGAACTCTGAACATGATGTTAATGTAATATGGAATGAGATGGCTGATTGTATCAAGAAAGTGGCAAAAGAAGTTTTAGGAGAATTTAGAGGAAAAAGAAATTCCGATAAGGAAACTTGATGGTGGAGTGATGAGGTTCAGAAGGCCATTAGCGAAAAACGATCATGTTATAAAACTTGGCAGAGTGATATAAACGGTCAAAACTTAAAAGAATATAAAAATGCTAAGAAAAACGTTAAACAAATAGTAAGTAAAGCTAAACTTAAGGTATATAATAATCTATACAATAAACTGGGAACAAGAGAAGGTGAAAAAGATGTCTTAAAATTAGTAAAAATAAGAGATAAAAGTGTAGGGATCTAAACTATATTAAATGCATTAAGAGTGAGGATCAAAGGTTCTTAGTGAAAATGACGAGGTCAATGAAAGGTGGAGAGTTCATTTTAAAAAATTATTAAGTGTCGAACACAAGGGAAAGTAACGGTAGAAGGAACTGGTGGTACAAATGAGGGCGGAGGTCATAGATACATTCGTAGGATTAGGATGTTGGAAGTGAAAGAAGCCTTGAAAAGGATGAAGATAGGAAAGGCTTTAGGACCAAATGGTATCCCGATAGAGGTTTGGAAGTGCATGGGGGAAATTGGCATTGACTGGCTGACGAAGTTGTTCAACAAGGGTTGAGAGCAAAGAAAATGCCAGATGAATGGAGGAAAAATATTGTGGAACCTATTTACAAGAACAAATGAGACATACAGAAATGTGCGAACTATCGAGGGATTAAGTTTATGAGCCATACTATGAAGCTATGGGAAAGAGTGATTGACCAACGACTAAGGCATGAAACAAGTATATTTAAAAACCAATTTGGATTTATGCCAGAAGGTGAATAATTGAGGCTATTTTCCTACTTCGGCATCTGATTGGGAAGTTTAGGGTGAAAGAAAAAGACCTCCACATGGTCTTTATTGATCTAGAGAAAGCTTATGAAAGAGTACGTGGAGATTTGATTTGGCGGGTGTTGGAAAAGAAAGGAGTCTCCCGACACTAGATCGACTTGATGAGGGATATGTACGATGGAGTGCTAACTAGTGTACGAACAACTAGTGGAGAGACGAGTGAGTTTTCAGTGACAATAAGTCTACGTCAAGGTTCAACATTGAACCTGTACCTCTTTGTCTTAGTTATGGACGACTTAACTAGGCACCTACAGGATGAGGTACGGTGGTGCATGTTGTTCGCCTATGACATAGTTTTGATCAATGAGACCCTAAACAATGTCAACACATAATTAGAATTTTGGAGGGATGCTCTAGAATCCAAAGGTTTTAAAATTAGTCGGACTAAGACAGAGTATATAAAATGCAAGTTTAGTAATAATAGGAGTAGAGACGAGGAAGTAGTTAAGATTAATAGCAAGGAAGTGCAAAAAAGACCGCACTTTCGATATCTGGGGTCGATAATCTAGGAAAATGGAGAGATTGAGGAAGATGTTGCACCCAAAGTTAGAGCTGAGAGGGTGAAGTGGAGATGTGCAACTGAAATTTTATGCGATCGCCGCATCCAATGAAGTTGAAGGGCAAGTTCTATAAGACAACTGTGAGACCAACTTTGCTTTATGGGGCAGAATGTTGGGCGGACAAAAAATAATATATCCATAGAGTGAGCGTAGTGGAGATGATGATGTTGAGATGGATGAGTGGCAAGACAAGAATGGATAGAATTCGAAATGAATCCATTCGGGAGAATTTAGGTGTGGCACCAATAGACGATAAGATGAGAGAGAGTAGACTTAGGTGGGTTGGCCATGTGTGGCGCCGATCAAGTACAACACATGTTAGGAGGTAGGCGTTAGTTCCAGTGGAAGGGCTGAAAAAGGCAAGCGTAGACCCAAAAGATTGTGGTTGGAAGTAGTTCGAAAAGATATGGGGACTTATGACTTCATTGAAGGTATGACTTTTACTAGAGCAGAATGACGGATCAGGATTCATGTAGCTGATCCCAATTAATTGGGAAAAAGGCTATGATGATGATGATGCTGATGATGATGTTTTCTTAGGCTGGCATCTTAAGGGATTTCTTAAAAATGTTTATAAAAGGATGTTGAGGTGTTATCCACTTTAAAGATGATGTCACTCTAGTGTTGCAGAAGTACAAGTGAAGCTTTCCACTCGGCATGATTATTCTCAAATATTGACTATTAATGAGGATTCCATGACATGACTAGCTTGGAATTGTGTATAAGTTGGCCTCGGTGGCCCAAGTCATGCCAAGGCAGTTTCTGCTTGGGATGCCATCAGGGAGGATGCTTGTAGAACCACTGTAGGAGCACCCAAGGATTTCAACATACGGGTTTTGGAGTTAGGTGGTGGTTTGGATGGTGGAGATGTATTCCCTGTTACTTTTTAGTTTTGATCAATTGGTCCTTGAGGGGCTATTTTAGGAATGTGAAGGTATTGATGCTATGGGGATTTTCTTTCCCTTTTGTTACAATAGTGTAAACTAGAAGATTTTACGATGCTGCTGTTATGGCCCATCCTTGGAGATTTTTTTGCATTCTTTGGTGATATGCTAATGTAAGTTTGTTAATCGTGATGAAAGTTTCTGTCGCATTAATTAAGACTTAATTTGAGTTTTATATTGTTTGATCAATTGGGGCTATCAAGTATAAAGATGTCTTTTTGGTTTTTTTACTCAAATCTTGTTCTGTACATGGTTTTGGTAGAAACCTTTTGCTTGCTAACCATCAAAGCACCCCGTATTTCCCATTTGTGGGCTCACTGGCCTTGAAATATATGTTGTCTTCTAAGACAAACTTAAGTTGTTTGTTTGCCCCGACATCTCTCCTTTTTGGTCTACATAATTGGCTTTATTGTGGTGAGCTCCGTACATGATCCTTTAATTAATGTTTATCTATGCTCATCTCTCCCTCTGTTATATGTTTCATGCGATATAGGCTGCATACTTTTCATTAAAAAGATAGTCACACTTTTAGTTCTTCTTGGAGTGTTTCTGTACTCGAGCTGGTTTACTATTTCATACTCTGCTGATGTTCTCGTTTTCCTCATCCATTCGTTCTATGACTGCAGGTATTTGTCTTTTTAGCAGCTGAGTATGAGACTCCCAAAAATTCATTGAATCAGGCGAGTGCTTAGTTTTTCAAATACTCATATATAGCATATATAAATGTCTACAAAGTTTTTCTCTTGATTCTGGAATCAAATTTAATTTTTGAATATATTCTATCCCCATCTTTTTACACAGCAAAAATGTTTTGTGGTGCTAAACAACATTGTGATGTGAGAATTGATGCTTAGAGACAGATATCTTGATCTTTTGTGGATTTGAAGTAGAAAGGTTACCATAGTGAATCAAAGCCTCATGATTCGGCTAAATGAGCCTTGGATGGCATCTTATAGACATCTATATATTAATGTGCCTTTAGTGGTGACAGTTCCTCACATGTTTTTTAACCCGTTTGCAAAAAATGTTTCTAGGATAAATCATAGAACCTTGTAAATGAATACTGATTCTGGATTTGGTGTAAGGAGAGAGTTCTAATTTGATCAGCCATTTAATTGTTTAGTTTATCACAATCAATTTAGGGAATTGATCCTCCCATTCCTTTATATTGGGTATTACATGGACATGTCTCCTATTGTAAATGATGTTTATGAAATACTAAGGCGCGTCACTTATCCTCCACGCCCTTAAGGCCTTTTTTTCTTCTTGGAATCTAACTTGGCTTTCACTATTGCAGCAAATTAGCCCTTAATTTGTAATGATTAATCTGATTGAGTCGTTCTTTCTTTCCCTGGACAAATACACCTAAAATATTTCTGTTTCTCGAATGAAAGAAATTCTCTGTGCTATTTCATTTAAATATTTTGTTTTTCAAGCGATAACTTCATTAATAGAAACAAACGGTTACATCTTTCTTTCAAAATATTTATGGTTTCTGAATCTGAAGTGTCTTGCAGGTTTCACTATGGGATGGCATCATACCTTCAAAAGACCAAGCGAAGTTTTCGATTCAAACAACCAATAAGTACCGTTTTATTGATCAGGTCATCACTTAAGCTTTGATCTGAATAATTAATGGAATTTTGTAGCTTATTTCTTTGGTATATTAGCCTGTGGAATGAGCTCCAATCCCATTGCTTGGTGCTTTCCAGTAATTTGATTATATTTTTGCTTCTAGCCGTCATCTCTGCTCTCCAAATTCAACTCCGTTGTTCAGTTCCCTTCTTTTCTAACTTCCTACCACAGTATCGAGATGTTTCTAAATTGTTACCAGCAATGTTGAAAAAGTCGGTCGCTAGGCAGCCTAGGCGAAGCAGGGGGGGGGGGGGGGCTAGGCGGGAATGCCCAAGACGCTCACCTAGTGCCATCCCCATGAAAAAAAAATAGAAAGCTACCTTAAAAGGAAAAACAAAAAGTTATAACCTATTTAAGGCCCTTCTCTCTCTTTCTTTCATGGGCCTATTTGTTATTTATATATAAGAAGAAGAAGGAGATGGCCTGCAAGTGTTCAATGTGAGGCCTCTCGTTTTCTCTTTTACACGTACGCGTACACGGACACATGCAAAGACATGCATGGACCCATATGCTCTGTCTTTACATGTAAAAAGAAGAAAAAGAAGCAGATGACCTTCAAGTGTTTGATGTGAGGTCCCTCTCTCTCATAGACACTCTCTCTCTCAATGTATTAGAAAAAAAAAAAGAACGTCATCCAAGTGTTTAAGACCTCTCTCTTACTCTATATATAAGATATGAAAAAAGGATCTTTAAGTATTTCATGTGAGGCCCCACACAGACAAGCACACACACTCATGTGCCCCCCCTCTTTTATGGATGCTTAGGTGTTTGGGTGCCCGCCTAGCTGCCTAGGCAGCCCGCCTCCACCTTTTTGAACATTGGTTACTAGTGTCGACAAATTGAGAAGGAATTTGAATATGAATGGGAGTATGGATGCTGAAACCTAAATATTTGGGTCCATAAATATATGAGTGATAATCCTATAGGATCCTCCCCCACCCATGTGTGTAAGACCCTCAAAGTATCACCATTAAAGTTGGCATAGATCTCTAGAAAAGTTATCACATGGGTATGAGACTTGACTTTTCTATAGATCCGTGTCAAATTTAATGATGATCCTTTGAGGTCCTACACACATGGGTGGGGGAGGGGCCTATAGGATCATTTCTCAATACATATATTCACAAATGATTTTTCTGGATGTCCAGGGAAGCAACCTTAGAGGCAAAGAATTCAACTTGACACTGCACTGGCATGTTATGCCCAAGACTGGCAGAATGTTTGCTGATAAGATCGTCATGCCGGGTTTTGGTCTGCCTCAAGAGTATAGATAGTAGTTCCAAGTTTTACCTTTTTGTTTTTTTCACCTTGGTTTCCATTCCCAAATGCTTGGGAACCAGTTTATAGAGTGATGCTGTACTGCTTCATGTGGAATAAATTAAAAAAAAATGATATACTAATTTATCAGCTGAAATTTTAGGGGCTCTTTTATCATGACTTCCTTTTCAAAGAATTGAATTAGAGTGTAGCATGCAACTACTTATCACATTCTCACATAGATTGAAAACCTGCTGAAAAGTGGAAATGTGGGAGGCTACTCTCTCAACAAAACTGGGGAGAAACCTTAGATATTTCTTCGAATTGATTTGTTATTTCCCTTTTGTGAGATTGCTCTGTTTATATTGTGTGGACATGGACATGTTGAATGATTGTAATACAACAAAAACCATGGAAGGGATTGATTTAACTGTCAATTGGTGTGTAGAGTTTCTTCTCTTTATGTTTTGGGCATTGTCTCTTGGATTTCATTTCATTGATGTGTTGGTACTGTTTATTAGAAAAGGCAGGTGTGTAACTTGTCTTAATGTATGAAGAGGTAACAAAAAATGAGCCTCTCTTTCTCTCTCTCACAAAGTGAAAGAGCAAGAAAGAAAGTGGGAGAGAAGGTCACATTTAAGAAGGGCATCCTAAAATACTCTCTCTCTCTCTCTCTCACAAATAAGGAG